AAGCAGAGAGGTATGACCCAAAATAACTCCTGATAGTAACACTGTGTTCCCAGTTTGCTCAGGGGTATATTGGCACCATAGCATGGTGCACCCTTACTGCTACCTGCCATGAGGCCAGATAACAGCTAGCCATCTCTGGTTTCATTCTACTTTGGATGGGTATGGCTGTTTCCTGAATGAAAGAAACTGAGATTGATTTCATGCTAATAACTGTTGATTAACAGTTCATGCTTTGTGGAGAGGTAGCCTGAATTCATTCATAGCTCTGCTGTTTACCTGAAACCTTGGGCTAGTTATTTCACTTTTCTGTGCCCTGGTGTTCCAATCTGTAGGATGGGGTATGACCTGCTCCACAGTGAGATTATGAGAACACTTCAAACATTCCCAGGCACACAGCTCAATAAATGTCATCTATGAAGACAATGAAATTCAAGCAAAATTTCTTAAACCCTTGTGCCATACATCCCTTTGGCAGTCTGGTGAAGCCTTTATTCCTTCCCAGCATCATATTTTTAAATGGATAAAATAAAATATATAGGATTACAAAGAAAACCAATTATACTTAAATACTGCTACCAAACTATTTTAGAATCTATGATATAATATGCTTTTTTAAATTAAAATCTTAAATGGATCTAGAGGTAGGTAAATGTCTAACAGCAGATATTTTGAAGTAGAGATGAGTGTAAATGGAACTTTGAGCTATCTACAACTGAAATGGGATAGAAAAATATCTATAATTTCTATTAGTGACAGAGTCACAAATACTACTGATAGTACTGTGGTTTGTTGCCTACACTCATCATCAAAGGAAATACTGAATTTGAGTTAGAGGTTTAAATAAAGATATATTTTTCCCCCAATCCAAATTCATGGATCCCTGAATTCTACCCATAGATTCCTTGGTCACTGGACTCCACAGGGGTCACTTGAGGAATGACTGTGACCCCAATGAAGGAAGCCAGCAGATACTGTTTCCTGTGTTATACCTACCATAGGTTTGTGATGAGGAAATAATAAAATAAATAACTGAACTGTAATGAAAATGAAAACAAAGAAAAACAAAAGGAACCTAAAACAGAGAAGGCAAATAGCTTTCCTTTTGGGTGCTAATTTTAGTAGACTTGTTGTGGTTGCTGAAACAGTGTGTTTGAAGCTGGCTCTGGGTTAAAGGGAAAATGCTGTTATTGATTACCAGTGCCTGCATGACAGCAGAATGCCAATAGCCATGCATCTCTGACCTAGCACAGTCATAAGCATGTTATGGACATACAGTGTTAGGGAACAAATAGGCTCCCACAAAAGTAAAAAAATGTTCTTCCTCCCATATATCACTTGTGTATGTTTATATCATTTATCTTGTACTTTTTTACATGAATACTTTTAGGTTTATTAATCTAATCCAAAAGGTTTTTATCTTTCTGTGTGTTTAGATACATATGTGTATATTCCCCAAACTTCTTAAATCTGATGCCAGTGAGGATTGCTTCCAGTCACAAGTAACATACATCAAATTAATGGTAGTTCATTCAGATAGGGATTTATTTTTCTCACATGACAAATACTTCTGTAGGTGACCCCATATAGAGCTTGTTCATTGAGCCAGTGATCATATCAAGGAACTCGGTTCTTCATATATTTTCATTCTTTGGTCTCTTCCTATTGACTTTATAGCTTCATCTTTCTCAAGGATGCAGAATGGCTGCTGCAGTCTCCAGCACTTCGTGTGCATTCAAATCATGAAGAAGGGAGATTGAATGATGCCAGCTAGCTCTCTTCTCCTGTCTCCCCTTTATATCTGGAACACAATATCCTTCCCCAAAACCTGGGTCATATGATTACACCTCATTACAGGCGAGTCTAGGAAAGCAAATGTTTGCTTTGCCCACCTCTACAATGGAAGCATCGAGGGAGAAATGAAGAAGGGGTGGGCATGGCTTGAGTTTTGTTAGCCACTAGGGCCTGCCACCCAGAAGACAGAAGTCCACTGACAAGCAGGGAACTGATTTTTCTGCCATGGAAAACGTCTGGCACTTTTCTACTGAAGAAATTTGGAAGTCTTGATGGGCCAGGAACAATAGAGGCAAAAATCCCCATTTTCTTTTATCAAAAAGGAAAGCCAAGAAAAAATTAGTTAAGTAGAAGTTATGCATAGCCCTTATGTAACTCTTCAGTGTTAATAACAGGTAGGCTGCATATCAAAACGTGATATTGTACAAGAAAACTAGTTGATAAAGCCTGCCTTATTTAGCATCAGTTACTTCTGCAAACCTAAGTTGACTCTGAAACAGGAACCACATATTAAACTTTTCAAACACATCAGAATGTGTTACCTTGAACAGATTTTATTTAATCCAAAGAGATTATCTTTGAAAAAATTAGATGGTAAAACATCATTTATGCCCATTTTTGTATAGTTAAATAGGCATAGTAGTAAGTTGTGTAAAATTGATATCCAAATCAATGCATGATACTAAAACTTGGTGTACAAACAGCAGCTATAATCCATTGCTTTGTATCTACATCTATTTCTGGAGTCATATAATGTTAGTAGACTCTTAGAAGTGTTTTAGGCTCATCCTTATTTTATCCATAAAGAAGACTGACACCTATAGAGATTAACTGACCCGCCAACGGTCATGGCAATTTCACTGCTAAGCCAGGAACACAGATGCCTTCACTCCTTTCTGAGAAAAGTACTGAGTAGTTTAGAGCAAAAGCCTCCCTGCTTCCAGCACTTCTGGCTAAGTTGAGCCTTGGGAAACTTGTTCTGTCTGTTTCAGTTCGTTCTTCTTTAAAATTGGAATAATGCTACCTAATTTATAGGGTTGTTTGTAAAATTAAATGAATTCATTTAGGTAAATCACTTGGAACACTGGTAAATTATACCTGCTTTTATTGTGTATTTCCTTTGACCACCTACAATTATCATTAGTGTCATCCTCATTGTCACAATAACATAAACTTTTTTTTTCTCTTTCTCTTTGTTTTATAATTTCAATTTTATTTTAGATTCAAGGGGTCCATGTACAGTTTTGTTACACGAATATATTGTGTGATGCTGAGCTTTGGGGAACAATTGATGCCATCTAGTGAGCAGAGTACGCTATAGCTTTTCAGCCCTTGTCCACTCCCCTCCCTCCCTTCCCCTTCTAGTAGTCTCCAGTGTCTACTTTGTCATCTTTTGTTTTATTTTTTGAGGTGGAATTTTACTCTTATTGTCCAGGCTGGGTGCAATGGCATGATCTTGGCTCATTGCAACCTCTGCCTCCTGGGCTCAAGTGATTCTCCTGCCTCAGCCTCCCGAGTAGCTGGGATTACAGGCATGTGCCACCATGCCTGGCTAATTTTTTGTATTTTTTGTAGAGACAGGGTTTCACTATGTTGGTCAGTTTGGTTTCAAACTCCCGACTTCAGGTTATCTGCCCACCTTGGCCTCCCAAAGTGCTGGGATTACAGGCGTGAGCCACCGCGCCCAGCCCACTGTTGTCATCTTTATGTCCATGTGCACTATTATTTAGCTCCCACTTAAAGTGAGAACATATGGTATTTGGTTTTCTAGTTTTTTTTCCTCTCAAGTCACTTCTGTGACAAATAGGAGTGAGATTTATTGTATTTTTTTAATGCTTTATTTAAAAAACTTGTATTTAATACATTTAATGAATTATATTTATATTTAAATATTGATTTATTTATGCTTTTTGTCTTATTGCTATATTGTTTCAAGAAATTTAATATTACTTGAGTTATATGATTTCAAATACATACTGATTAACCCTTTAATTAGAAACTTTATGTATGACATGAATTGCCAAAATATGTAGTTGTTACAACCTACGAGTAGATCTGGCTTACCTAGGCCTAAGCTTTCTTCTGTTTTGCTGAGAAACTGGTAGCCTGCCCCATACTCTAGAAGCCTTCCCTGGTGTCTAGACCTCAGAAGCCATCAGCTGTGTGCACAGGAGAAGGACACATGGCAAATAGCTATTTTGTCTCTTAAATATATGGTATGTGGGAACCACTGAAAAATGTAAAGCTTCTACAAGGTGCTATTTTTATTATTTATGGCTCTAGAGAACAGAGAAGGTGAAAAAATGTGAGAGGAGATGGGAAAGCCAATAGTATGTGGCCTTCAAAACAATAGATCCCACAGGTATTGCCCCAAACTGCTTCCTGGCCCTCTCGTGGGGAGAGGGAGGGGGAAGACATCCTATTGAGTTCAATATTCTCTCATTATTTCCTCCTTTTAATTTTCTGGATACACAACGGCAAATAGTTTTGCTAAAGTAGCTACAAAACTGGTTGGTGCTCTCCAACCTTCCCACTCCAATAAATGCTGTCATGGATGGGTACACTAAAATCTCAGAATTCACTGCCTGTCACTCATCTGTGTAACCAAAAGCCACTTGTACCCCCAAAAGCTACTTAGATAAACAAATTCTTATTTAAAAAAATACTGTCATGGAGGTGTTACCTTCTTTTCTTTTTTATTAGTAACTATTTGTGGGATGCCTTTGGTGTGACAGGTCTTAAGCAATACCATTTTCTCTTGGCTTCTTTGCAGTCTCTGTGTGAGGCTTATGGTCATTTTTCATTGTTTGACTCTTCAAAAGGAAGACGGGGCTTTTGGTTCTACATCTGGAACTCTCTTCCCACAACACCAGAACTATGAGAAATGTGACCTGGTTCTGTGTTTACATTTGCGTAGGAACTTGTATTATAAGTTTTATTTGTTGAGTTATTGGCTTTTTTTTTTTTTTTTAAATAACTCACCTCAGTATATGGGTTTACAGTACTATGCAACAGACATTTTTGTTTTAACTTCATTTCTGCTGCAGATTTATGTTCCTACCTTTGTTTTTTTATTTTCTCTTTCGTCTCCTTTAGATTTGTGCTATGTTTTATGTATTGCTGTAAGCCTCTTTAAACCCTTTCTGAAAAGAAGCAGGGAATACATAAACAAATAGATTTTTTTTTTTTTTTTTTTTTTTTGGTAACAGAAATCGACTAAAAGCCTCCGGAGAAGTAGAATCTGTAGACCTTCCAAACTGCCACCTGATTAAAGGAATTGGTATGTATGTGAAAATAGTTGTTGGACACATTGCATTTTTTTGGCCACCAACATTAAGACACTTATTAATGGTATTTTAGCATGCAATTACTGTTTTTCAGTGGATAAACCACATTAGATTAACAATCTCTTTTGATCTCATGCACTGTGTATTTATTTTTTCTTACCCTCACTGTAAATTATTCTTTTTTTGTGTGTAATTCTATGTTTAGCATTTGATTTCTTGCTTGTTTTGTGACTTCTCTGAATGAACTTCTTTGACTTCTTTGTCAAGTGTATACCTGACAAATAAGTGTATTATTTGTCAGGTATGGCCACTGCAGTCTGTGTTCTGTGAGCCTTGTGGTCAGCTAGTGAAGGAAGCTCCATGTAGGCAGTGACGGCGTTTACCCTGCTCACTACTCTATAACCAGGATCTGATCTTATGGCTAATACATAACTGACTGATATGGTTTGGTTGTGTCCCCATCTAAACCTCATCTTGAATTGTAGTTCCCATAATCCCCACGTGTCGTGGGACGGACCCAGTGAGAGGTCATTGAATCATGGGGGTGGTTACCCTGTGATGCTGTTCTCATAATAGGGAGTGAATTCTCATGAGATCTGATGGTTTGTAAGGGGCTTTTCCCCCTTTTGCTTGGCACTTCCCCTTGCTGCCACCATGTGAAGAAGGATGTGTTTTCTTCCCCTTCCAGCAAGATTGTAAGTTTCCTGAGGCCTCCCAGCCACACAAAACTGTGAGTCAAGTAAACCTCTTTCCTTTATAAATTACCCAGTCTCAGATATGCCTTTATTAGCAGTGTGAGAACGGACTGATGTACCGACAATTCACAATACGTGTTGAAAAAACTTGTTTTTATTTTATCTTCTAAGCTATGACTGCAGAGGGGGTTTTCCCTCTCATGTTGGCTTTATGTAGGATGTACTGTGGCACCTGAGTCTTTGAGGAGGGGCTCCTAAGAGCAAGCCCCAGTTTTTCTATAGATAGGGAGGGATCTGTCCAGATTATTCGCCAACACTGAGGATCTCTCTGGCATGTTTACAGTTTTTCTCCGAGGTAAAGTCCATGCTTTGCTGTCTTTTACACTTTATCACCTACTATTAAGTACATGTCCCTAGTACATACCAGACTTATAGTAACTATTGTTAATTATCAATGAACAATAAATATTGGCTTCCCTTTTAAAAAATTTTTTAATTCTTTTTTTTTTTTTTGAGAGGTGACCTCATTCTGTCACCCAGGCTGGGATGCAGTAGCGCGATGTTGGCTCACTGCAGCCCTGACCTCCTGGGCTCAAGCGATCCTCTTGCCTCATCCTTCTAGGTAGCTGAGACTGCAGGCACATGCCCCCACTCATGGCTAGTTTTTTATTTTTGTAGAGACAGGGTCTCGCTATGTTGTCTAGGCTGGTCATGAACTCCTGGTCTCAAGCAATCCTCCCAACTTGGCCTCTCAAAGTGCTGGGATTACAGGCATGAGGCACTACGCCCAGCCAATATTGGCTTTCCTTAGACATGGTTCATGGTATGATCAGAAACAAAAAGAATTAGAAGTCAAAACACCTATTTTCTTGTGGTACATATACACCATGGAATACTATGCAGCCATGAAAAACGATGAGTTTGTGTCCTTTGTAGGGACTTGGATGAATCTGGAAACCATCATTCTCAGCAAACTGACATAAGAACAGAAAACCAAACACTGCATGTTCTCACTCATAGGAGGGTGTTGAACAATGAGAACACATGGAATCAGGGAGAGGAGCATCACATGCTGGGAGCAGTTGAGGGGGTAGGGGAGGGACAGTGGGGGGGTGGGAAGGGATAATATGGGGAGAAATGCCAGATATAGTATATACCTAAAGTAAAATGAAAAAAACAAAACAAAACCCTATTTTCTAGTTCTATTTTGCCACAAACTTGCAGTGTGACCTTAGGCAAAGTTGGCTTTTGTATTTGTCACCTATAATGATGAGTTTGTGATTAGACTGAAGGTTTTTAGATTTTAAAAAGCCTGGATACATTTATTTATAATCTTATTCTGAGAGCCACACTGTGGAAATAACTAGACTGTCATTGGGTCCCTTCTAGTCCTTGATAACAACATCCTTCTCTAGAGGTAGGAGAGACAATATAATATTTTGTTTTATTCTTAAGAAATTAAAACTCAGGTTACATGGAAATGTTCTACTCCTCTCCGAATAGGTAACATTGTTAAACAAGTTTTGAGTGTCCTTCTGCCTTTTTCTGTCTTTTTATGAATACTACTGTACATAATTTTTAAAAACATAAATCGGGTCAAATTAAGCATGATATTTCAAAACTAGTTTTTTTGTACTTGATACTAGGTTTTGGAGACTTATGTTTGTACACAGAGTTACCTTTTAACAACTGTGTGGGATTTTTGTGCAAAGTTCCTTTAAATAGTGTATGTGCAAACAATATAGAAAAACATAAAATGGAAAGTAAATAAAATAAAAATAAAAATCTCTCAGCAGACTCTTCAGCACCCTCAATAGAAATAACCCCAAAGATAAAGTTTCTTTTTTTATCTTTCCTGATAGTTTCAGTGCATATGCAAACAAATATATTGACTCTTTTTTTCACAAATAGAATTTTAGTGTAAATATTTCACAACCTGCTTCATTCCTAAAACAGTGTGAGCAGCTTTCCATATCAGCATATATGGTTACTTTGCTGTTTTTAATATTTTCGCATTCCATGATTTATTTAACCAGTCCCCTTTTAATGTACCTTTTGGTTGTTACAGTGTTTTGCAACTATGAACAAATCAGTGAACGTCATTGCTGCTGCATTTGTGTATCTGTAGAATACATCCTTAACAATGGGATTGTTCCTTTAGGATATGTGTTTAAAGTTTTGACAGCCATTGCTAAATTGCTCTGAAGATGACAACAGTAATAAAATCAGTACCTCATAGTTGTAACCACATTTACTCCACACAGGGTTCTCAGCACTCTTTTAGCAAAAATAAATCATCAGTTGACAGTGCAACCTTCAGAGTTTCTCTGCAGATCCCTTGCTTGCCTCTCTTTCTTTTTCTCTTTTTTTAATCAGCTTTCCCAGGTTGATCTGTTTTTCATTCCTTAGGCTTCTGTTTCCTATGTGTTTTTCTCCTTTTTTTTTATTGATACTTTTGTATTTCCCCAGTTCTACCTCCCTTCCGCTCGACTGGTAGGCTGTCCTGGAATTTCCCTTCTTTCTTTCAATTGCCCGAACACTTAGTGGGAGGAGGGAAACTCATATCAAATAGCAGATTGACTACATCTGTGCTGGAACGTGCAGACATTTCAGGAGCCCCAAGTAACTCAGCAGCTTCATCTTGCCTCCGGCTGTGATCAAGAAGAGCCCTCTCAGAACTGGTCACTCAGGGAAAGCCAGATGGCATCTGTAAAAGATGTTGGACAAGGTTGGGAGGTTGGGCTAGTGATCTCTTAGGTTACTTTTGCTGCTGAGTTAATAATTGTCACATTATTAAACAGTCCTTGGCCCTGGGAAGCCTACCTTCTGTGAATTCAAGTCTCAGAGCAGACAATAGGGCACAACCAGCCATGTTACAGGACAGACTGCCAAGTGTATTCCTGTTACAGCTCAGTGGGATGGAGCACTCCTCAGAGAAAAACAAGCCCAGCAACATTTGTATTCTGAACAAGCATCTGTCTATGTTTGTGACCTTTATGTTGTGATGTGTGTGAGCTGCTGTCTGGAATTGGAAAGAATGAGGAAATATGTCACCTATGGCCCCTCTTGTGAAGTGTTTAATGCCTCTGAGGCACTTCAAAAGGCAACAGAGCGGAGAGGATGAGTGATTAGAAGCACATTTGGGATACATTTTTAGATCTAATTAGAATTGTGCTTTTTTTTTTTCTTTTTTTCTTTTGCCCTATGATTAGCACACACCATATGAAGATTTGTTGAATGTTATGTTAGTAATGTATAATGGTTAATAATAACTTGTGGTTATATGTCTTTAACAACAGTTGCTTATTCACAGGTCTTTGATGATAAGGAATAACAATGTGCTGGACACACATTTCCATATAGGCAACAGCAACTTCTTATGGTAGAGAGGGCTGTTTCTTATTTTCTGTTGTATAAACAGTAGTAGCTGTGTACTTGAGGCCAACTAATCCCTCTAAGAGGTGAGCCCCCGTCCCCCTTGCCCTCTATTTCTATGAGCACACACATACACATGCACACACTACAGTGCTTCCGTTACCATCACTGGCAGTGAACTATGTGCAACTTTTAGGTGCTTTATATCATATCATATTGTGTTTTTCTGTTTCAATCATAGTTTGTGACTACACATCATACAGTATGTGTGCCTTCTGTGGGGCAGAAACTAAGTTCACTATTTAATCCTTTCTAAAAATTCCTTCCCAGTCTATCTTACAGACAGAAACTAAGCTTTTATGCACCGCAAATTTGGCATAATATTAACATCTGCATATTAAAAATTAAAATGTGAAGAGCTAGTTAACTTTGAGGCTTAAAAGTAAAAAAAAAAATCTTATTTTCTAAATGTCTGTCCTTCAGAGTTCTGGACTAAACCAGAAATTTGAATGGACTGTCTTTCTCGAGGTAACTAACAATTTTATGCACCTGGCAGTCAAGACCTTTACAATAACTGCTGCTTGGGAGATGATTGGGGAAAAAAAGCATTAAAGTTTGTAGCCCTTACCATCAAGTACTTTACAGTCTACTGATGGGAGAAAAGGAAAACAAAACAAAAAACTACTGTGAGATATAGATACATCTTTTCTTTTTCTAACAGATAAGGTCAAGGAGGTTAAGCAACTTTGGCAAATTCTCTTTCCAATATAGTGTCTTTTCCCAGGGTGATTAATATATATACTTGATGAGTGAACCAGAAAAGTAGAAAATAATATGTTACATTACATATTGGATACTCTATTGGGTATAATAAAGGATGACTTGCTGTTATAAAGTTATAATAGCTTAGAAAAGAGAGAAGTTTATTTTTATTTTTCTCTTAATCAGTCTTAAGGTAAGCAAATGACCTAGGGCAGTAAGATGACTGTGTTCCGTGTGGTCATTCAGCGGCGAAGGCTGATGAAGCAACACAGCTATCTTCATCGAGGACCAGAACTCTGGTTGTTGCCATTTCCTAGCAGGATGGGGTAAAAAGAAAATTTACATAGTTTTTTTTTCTACCTAGTAGTTGCATACATATTATATTCTCACATCCTATTGACCCAAACTTAGGCATATGGCCACATCTGTCAGCCACAAAGGATGGGAAATGTTATCTATAGCTATGTTACCTCATGCCTGTTGCTAAAAAGGAAGAAGGGGAATATGAATGCTGGTGAACACTTGGCCATCTCTGACACAGATGACTGCTTAAGTAATAAGCAATCAAAATTAGATGTGCTAAGCTAGGAGACTTTCTAAAGAAAGGGTTTGGCATGCTGTGTGTGCCATTCATGGGTTTTTGCTGATGCTGTTCCTTATGCCTGGAAATTCTCCCCCAAATTCCCCTGAGCAGTGGATGCAGTGGATACCTTCCCCAGGTTCCCCCAGCTTCCCTAAGTGTTGGCTACCAAAAGCTCTCATTGCATCCAGGGAGCTAAGTCCTCCTGCACACAGGCAATAACGGACTGACATGGGGTAGATTAAAAGAAATAAGAGACACATCAATCAATTGAATTGTGTGGGACCTTATCTGGACTCTGAATTAAACAAACTATAAATTCTTTAAAGCTACACCTTTTAAAAATAATTGGCCATTTGAACACTAACTAGATATTTGATGATATTGAGGGATTATTGTGAATTTTTAGGTGTAATAATGATATTGTGGTTTGTATAAATATATTTAAAGATAATATGATACCTGGGATTTGCTTTAAAATAACACAGGATGAGGATAAGTGGTAGGACTGCAGGGGAAACAAGACTGGCCATGAACTGATAACTGTTGAGGGTGAATACTGCGTACATAAGGGTTCACCACACCATTCTCCCGATTTGTGTCTATTTCCCATAATAAAAGTGTGAAAGAGAGAGAACCCATGAAAGGGAGGGAGAGAGTCAAGCATACAATAAGAATGACAAATAGCACCAAATCAGTCCACAGTATTAAGTTTTCACATATTTACATAAAGATCAGGAATGCAATACTGAAATTAATGTATATCACTAGAATAAAAAAGTGAGGATTTATTAAATTTGTTTTGAAATAAAATAAGTTGAAATACAAAAAAGAAAGGGTTTTGAAAGAGGTGTTAAAGAAAAGTACAGGATATTCATTGGTAAAGATGTTGGTGAGAGGCATGGAAGCAACACTTCAGAGGAAAAAGACAACATATGGGATTGACCATGATTGAATTTACAAGTGAAGTGGCTTTACAGAGGAATCGGGATGTTTCTGAGAGAGAAAATTCATTAAATTCTAGCTTGAATATTTTCTGTTTGCTTTTAAGTCAAACCAAAAGCCTTGAGTCCCAGCTTCCCAGTTTGTGACCTTGAGCAATTGCTTAACTTTTTCAAAGCCTCCATATTCTCACTCTAAAATAAAAGATAATCCTACTGCCTCTTAGCATTATGAAATCATATGAGATATTGTATGTAGAGTATTTACAAGAAGCCTGGTACTTGGTGTACCTAAGTATGTTAGTGATTATTATTAAATTAGAGGAACAAAACTTTCTCTAGCACTGACTGCTCTTGAAGTAACACACCAAAGAGGTGATATGAGAGGATACAACCCTCCTGCAGTAGTGGCTATAGAAATGATGATGGGGGACTAGATCTGGAAAATATTCCAAAAAAGGCTACAGATAGACACATTTTTTTTCCATTGGAATTAGGCAATGAAGTTAAACAGAAGTTACAATATGGTTGAAATAAATGTATTTTTTTAAAGAATTTTCTTTCCTTAATTATTAAAAAGCACAATTTTTGTAGAAAATTTTAAACAAAGTATAAAGAAAATAAAAATCATTCATAATCTACTACTCAAATAAGCAGTTAATTTTTTCCATATATTTTTTCTTTTTCCATGTGTACACAAGCATTATATATATGAAAATTAATTAATTTTTTTTTTTTTTGAGACGGAGTTTCACTCTTGTTACCCAGGCTAGAGTGCAATGGCGCGATCTTGGCTCACCGCAACCTCCGCCTCCCGGGTTCAGGCGATTCTCCTGCCTCAGCCTCCCGAGTAGCTGGGACTACAGGCACGCGCCACCACGCCCAGCTAAATTTTTTTGTATTTTTAGTAGAGACGGGGTTTCACCATGTTGACCAGGATGGTCTTGATCTCTTGACCTCGTGATCCACCCGCCTCGGCCTCCCAAAGTGCTGGGGTTACAGGCGTGAGCCACCGCGCCCGGCCAAAAATTAAATTTTTTAAAATAATTTTCAGGAAAAATAAATTTTAGTTAATTGAGCTTCTATTAAATAGGCCTGAAAAGCAAAACCTGGACTAGAATTCTCTCTCTCTTTCCCCCCTCTCTATCTGTATATATATGTATATGTGTGTATGTGCTGTGTATACATGATTCTTAACTTATAACCAGTGGAGAACCACCATGGAACAAGAGTCTAGCGGTTCTTAACCTTTTTGGGGGAATCACAGTCTCTTTTTTGAATCTGATAAAAATCAAGGACGCTTTTCCCAGAAATGTTCTCATCTGTGCATACATAAGACATTTTGCATTGCATAGCATTTCAGCGGGTTCATAGATACTTTGAAGCCCAAAAGGTTCCACAGACCCCAGATTGAGAACCCTGCCACTATGCCACACTTAAGCTTATTTCTATGTATCTCTTTCTGAGGAGCAGGCTGATGGGTCATCTTTACAATGTGAAGTTCTTGGCGTTTTTATTTTGTTTTGCTTTTCTGCACTATGATGGAGCAAGCAACACTAGAGGCAACTGGCTAAATGCAAACTCATGAATCAAGACCAAAATGGCTGAATAGATAGATGCATGCTGTTTGGTTTTGACAACCTAGAAATAATCTTGAAGAAATCCTATGGAGAAGTCTTAAAGAGAAAGATTGGATTTTGTAGACTCAAAGAATGTGTCATGGTTTGGCTTAATGTAAGCCATTTTTATTCTTCTTTTCTTGTGTTTGGGTCTATTATCTGTCTGTAGAATTTATACATAGAGACTGATGGCAAAGTCTTATGTCTAATTATTTGCTGTGCTATGTGGAGAGTACTGCAGAAAATCAATAAACAATCAATAGTAATTGTAGCCTGCCTCAGAGACAGGAGTTAGAAGTTTCAATTGGCTTAGGTGCATGGTATTTTTCATTAATTTTCTTTTGCTAGTTTTTTCTGTAATATAAAGATTAAATGGAAAAGCTTTCTTTGCTTATGAAAACAAGTAGACACTGTTTTTAAAAGAGGGAATATATAATCCCAGGTGTTTTACCTCTGTTAATGAGAAAGATGTCTGTTTGCTTCAGATTGAATGAGCAAAGAAGAGGACAAGGATATTTGCATGGTTAAATGCCTATGAGTCCTTCCTTCAGAAAGTAATATTCCCCTGATGTTAATTACTTTTATACGGACATCTGGATGTTTATCGTAAGAGTGTACAGATGTCAACTTTTCCTGTATTATAGCTGGAAATGTGGTGATAACTTGACTTTGATTTGAGTAAACATAAAATATCTAACATTTAAAGTCAGAAGTTCACTTCGGGAAGTGGTTTAAACTGACATTTATTAAAAAGAATGGTGCCTTGGAAAAAAACATCAGAACCATCCCTAAAGATACATGCACTCTGATAAAGTAAACAAAGTCCCAGTTATGCTTTATGTAACAAATAACAGAACTTGAACATGACATTTATCTGTTCCTTAAACTTAACAGAAGCTGGCTCTGAAGATATTGACATACTTCCCAATGGCCTGGCTTTCTTTAGTGTGGTGAGTGTCTTCTTCCTTCTCCAAATTCAGTAGAGGAGATACAAGGGTATTTGATGAGGCCTGCAGAACAGTAAGTTGCTTTTAAAATTCATTTTCTAAAATGCATTCTGAAGAAAAGAGGGGTCAAACAGGATCTTGGAAAACTTCATCCAGCTTTTCTAAATATAAAGATGAAGACTCTTTGCCCATTGAGATAGTGCTCTTTATTTCCCCACTGCACTGCACTAAAATATTCCAATGCAACCTGTGGTGTTTTTTTTTTTTTCTTTCATTATTTATTTATTTTTTGAAATGGAGTCTTGTTCTGGTCGCCCAGGCTGGAGTGCAGTGGTGCCATCTCAGCTCACCGCAACCTCTGCCTCCTGGGTTCAAATGATTCTCCCGTCTCAGCCTCCTGAGTAGCTGGGATTACAGACACCCACCGCCATGCCCAGCTAACTTGTATTTTTAGTAGAGATGGGGTTTCACCATTTTGGCCAGGCTGGTCTTGAACTTCTGACCTCAGGTGATCCGCCCACCTGAGCGTCTCAAAGTGCTGGGATTACAGGAGTGAGCCACAATGCCCAGCTGCAATCTGTGTTTTAAATGTGCATTATTAAAAGGGATAAATGAGGTCTTACTGTAGATACTCAATACTAACATACTATTTTAAATACAGCATCTACCCATCTGTCTATTACATATTCAACTTTAAGCAAATATTCTTGCCATTATTATTTATTTTCAAATATTATACCAAACTCGCCCTATTGCTTTCTTTCGTTTTTCCCCTGAATAGCCAATCATAAGTGGAAAGTCATTGACTGAGTTTATTTACACCCTTCACTTTGCCTTGATTCTTGTGAGCTGAAAAATAGTATCCTTTCTGGCCATAGGATAGAAAGACTTTAAAAATAATTGGCTTGTGAATAGTGTTGAAAATGACTTGCAACAATATCTATTCTAATTGGAAATCCAGATGAGAGGTCAGATGAGGAGGTTCTGACTACCTACCTCCCTGGCTTGGGCAGATGTAGGAATTCTTGGCGTCTTCATAGGTCTAGTTTATCTGGAGGAAGAAGTAACCAACTCTGAAGCCTGACTGTAATTATTCTGTTTCCTCTCAACATCCATTATTTTCAGGCTCTGAGAGTCAGGAGGAATATGGAAAAACCAGGAGATACTTAGAAGGGAGTTGCCACACTAATAAAATAGTTGTTAGACTTATGAGAAAGGTGAGAGAACTCAGCTTGGAATAGAATGAGAATGAGAACAGTCTTCAGATTCCTGACGGTTTTTATATGAAAGACTAAGCAGCTGGTTATTACCATTGAGGGAATAAAGAAATACTGTGGGCTTTAGCAGAAACACCTATATATGTATTTAATTTAAAAAATAAGGTTTTAAAAGAAAGGTTTTATTTAATTGCTAACGCAGAATGAATAAAGTGATATTTATAGTAGGATTCTGGGTTTGTTTAGAAGCACATGCTTGCACATGTGTAAATAGGCTTAGGAAAAACCACTGGGACCACTAGTCCAAAATATTCAGAAGTAGAGATGCAAAAATTCTGAATAAAGTAGAAGGCAGTTGCATTGATTTTTTTGTTTGTGGTTTTTTTGTTGTTGTTTTGCAAGGATGTGTTCTTAGAGATTTTTATAATCTAGAATTCACCTATTTCAAGATTTCTCTCTAGCTCCCATAGTAATAAATCTGAAGTAGGAAGGATGAGGTCTCCAAGCACATAACTCTGTAGCCATTTTAGCTTGGGGGCATATTACAGTTACAAAGATCTTATAGCCATGTCAATAGAACTTTTTCTGCTTTTTTTCTGTTATCCTTCTTTGGTTATTTGACTTTGTTTTTTAAACATTCCCCGTTTGCTGCTGTTTTTCATTTACTTGGTATTGTCTCTAATATAACCCAGAGTGTACTGTCTTCTAAGTGAAGAGCTCCTACATTGAGGGGTTTGTTTGTTCTTCTTCCTATCATTTTAGCTCATCCAACCCAACGTATTTTACAGTTATGGGTTGAGGGTCACCTGAAAACTAATGTCACACTTCATGAATAATTGGATGACACAGAATAAAATGTAAAAAATGTAAACAACAATGTGAGTGTACTTCACACCACTGAACTGTACACTTAAAAATGGTGAAAGTGATGAATGTTATGTGAATTTTATCACAATTAAAAATAAATTTATAAAAGAGAAAAAAATACTTAATAAGGAATGCCAACATAACCATGTCTAGTTATTACCATCTGATAGTGTTTCCTTTGCATGGAAATCATGCTATTGTTTTGGACACATTCATAAAGAATAGAGATTATTAACAACTGAAGTGGCACTGCCATGTAACAATAGCATAATTCAGTTTGTTCTATTTACTCGGCCTGCCTTCCATGAAAGTATACAATTGTAGATAATTTTTTTAATTGGAGAGATTTCCGCTTATATCCAATTTTATACATAAAGTGAGATTTTTTTATTGTGCCCTTAAATTTGCTTAAAATATGACTTCACCATATTAGTAAACTGAATAAGGTAGTGCATTCAAATAAAATTTATCACCAAGAAGCCTTTACCTTAGGAATGCAGTGATGAATCATATTTTTAGATAGACTGATAGGTAATTTATTAACTGATTTAAAAGAGAAAAGACGTAGATCATCTCAGTGAGTACCAAAAAAGCATTTAATAAAATTTGATACTTATTCCTAAAGTTCCAAGCAAACTAGAAGGAGAAGGAAAATTCCCACAAAACTACAGCAAACATTATTCTTAGTGGTGAAGCATTAGCTGCATTTGCATTAATGTTCCAAAAGGAAGAAAATACCCAGGAATACCATAACCCTCAGTAATCTACTAGGGTTCTTAGTGATTCAGTAAAACAAGAAAAAGAAATTTGAGATAGGAAAGAAAAAGACCAAACTGTCAGTAGAAGCAGGGACTGGCTCATTTGCCCAGGCTGCTGTGCGGTAGTACAGTCAGCTCCCTGCAGGCTGAACTGCTAAACTCCTGTACTCAAGAGATCCTTCCACCTTAGCCAAGTAGCTAGGACTACATGTGCTCACCACAAAACCTACCTAGTTTTTTTTTTTTTTTTTTTTTAGTAGAGAACAGCTACGTTGCCCAGGCTGGTCTCAAACTCCTGGCCTCAAGCAATCCTGCCACGTCAGCCTCCCAGAGTGCTGGGATCATAGGCATGAGCCACCAGGCCTGACCTAAAGCTGTAGTAATTTTAAAGGTGTTATACTGGCACAAGAATAGGCATGAGACATTAAAAGAATACAACAGAGAGTCCCTAAATAGACCAATATGTAAGAGATCTAGCACATGATAAAGGTGACATTTTGAATCAGTGGGAAAAGGATGGACTATATGCCAGGCACTGTTCCAGACAGAGGGATCTAGCAGAGAACAAACTTTCCACAGTCAGTATGTAGATGTCACTTTGCTCCACACTCAGCTCTCCCTGGAATCACCTTGTCCACCAACCTTCTGATTACCCTCTGAAGAGAATAAATCCCTGATCTTCTGTATCAACTCAACAAAATCAGTTATTTTCAGCTTTCAGTGTTCCAGCTCCCCATTATTATTTTTTCTATTATACTTTCTCTGTTTTTTGAGTTTTTTGTGGCTTTATACCACTACTGTAACCATAGTCTCTATTTCTCCTTCATGTACAGTTCCCATGTTAGTCTGTAAAGATACTTCAGTCTTTGTATTTAATATTTTTCACTGTTTTGGAAGGGTCTAAAATTCCCAGGACTCCACAGCTTTGCACCAGATAAGCCTGGAGGAATACTAATGATGGATCTAAAAGAAGAAAAACCGAGGGCACGGGAATTAAGAATCAGCCGTGGGTTTGATTTGGCTTCATTCAATCCACATGGCATCAGCACTTTCATAGACAATGGTAAGAGCCAATGAGCTACCAATGTTTAGAAACGTGTGATGGTTCACAAATGACTATGAAAAAGAGATTCAGATCATATTTATAGGAAGAGAAGAACAATTAAGTCATGAATGATTTCTGTATTCTTCAGTACAAACAAGTTGTTCATTTGCCTCTTGAGCTGACAGTATAAGTTATGCTACATTTTGAAATTTCTAACAGTTAACACCTGAAAGAATGTTTAGCTTTCATAATCTTTTCATATACCTATGATCATTGCATTTAAAAAAAACTGTATTTTTGAATTAAACTAGAAACAGATTATGCATGAATTCTGTATATGGAGTAGGGAACACTCTCTTAAAGGTCAGGGAACCAATGATCAGAAATAACACCAGACAGACAGCAATAGGAAAGACGGAGAAGAATGATCTGTTAGGTCACCTAATAGCTTATACATTCAACCTTTCCTTGCCCGTGGTATTTAAATGTCAGTGTCTGCGCAGAGGTCCTGTGGTAAATTAACTCTGTTCTTTCAATTCTTTAGATGACACAGTTTATCTCTTTGTTGTAAACCACCCAGAATTCAAGAATACAGTGGAAATTTTTAAATTTGAAGAAGCAGAAAATTCTCTGTTGCATCTGAAAACAATCAAACATGAGCTTCTTCCAAGGTACTTCCTTATTTTATTCCTTCTCTAATTTATCCCCAGCATTTTCAAACAATCTCCATGGTGGGTTGTCCTGTCATCTTTTATAAGAGCGCGCGCGCGCGCACGCGCACACACACACACACACACACACACACACACACACCCTGTATTAGCTAATGTATAAGAGCTAAAGAGCTTATATTTTTTTATTAATAAACATATGTGTGTATAGCTTGGCATATGAAAATTGATGTCACTCATTATACTATTCACTGTTCTATGTGGAGTTCTTTGAGAAATGATGAAATGCCCAACTGCAGGGTGATACTCTTCAGGCCCATCTTGAGGGTAGAAGACAAACCCTAACATTTTTTCCTACTATCACCCTCCATCTTAGATGACTCATCACCTGGATGAGTGTCCTGCCAATGAAGAGTGGCCTGTTTTATACTGGGTTTGTATGCTTTGCATGGGACGTTATACTGATTGCTTTTATAGGGTTAGTGGTGGTTGAATGCTAGTAATCCCACAGAATTGGAGCCACTCAAGTTGAAAGTGGTTCATTACTACTTCAAGAGCATAAAGCTTGTTGAAAATGTGCCTAAAAAAGAATCATATGTATCCAACCCCAGTTCAGTGTGTATTAGCCTACTGCTTCTTTTAGTTTAAACTTGATGAATATTTTTAATTTCATTAGAAATTATCTAGGGCCTATCTATGCCTATCTAGGGCATGAGCATGTAACTTCCAATAATTCCTTCCAAATCTGCACTTGATGAAAAATAGGAGCCCAAATACCATCCAAGCATTGTGGTGCTCTTTCAGAAAAAGGAGACCTACCTTCCCTGTAGCTCTGTATTTTTCATTTAGCAAAGAATAAAACAGCTCTTTCAGAAATTTTTGCATAGAGTAACTGGAATTTAAATTTAATAATACCCTCACCTAACTGGTCTTAAAAATGAAATTGTTTTTAGCATATAAATCTCTCACATGAAGCATTGTACTATGGCAATTTCATCATCCATCTCTGCAAGTGTTTTTTGAGTGCCTGTTCATTCTCATCATGTCAGCTTTGTGAGGCAGGTAGAAATTGAACAGTCAACCTTAGTTTGACTAATAACTAAGCAAGGGAAATTAGAAAAATCCAGGAACTAAGCAAATGGAAGCTACGTAAATGTTCTGACTGCCTAACCAGCTCACCAGCCAATCAGGCTCTCTCCAGCTGTGTACTGTGGCCAGCTCTGTCCTTATATGTAGTTGTTAAACCCTACATTTCTTGCGTCAAAAAACATGCTCTGTTGGCACTAAGTTCTCTCTTCTTTTATAGTAATCCTACCATAATTGCTAAATGACCTGTGTTTAGATTACCTGGTACCATATGAAATTCTTCTCTGGCAACAATATTACAGTATACTGTATGTGATTTTATTTTATTTATTTATTTATTTTTGAGATGGAGTTTCACTCTTGTTACCCAGGCTGGAGTGCAATGGCGCGATCTCAGCTCACTGCAACCTCTGCCTCCTGGGTTCAAGCAATTCTCCTGCCTCAGCCTCCCGAGTAGCTGGGACTCCAGGCATGCGCCACCATGCCCAGCTAATTTTTTTTTTTTTTTGTATTTTTAGTAGAGACGGGGTCTCACCATGTTGACCAGGATGGTCTCGATCTCCTGACCTTGTGATCCACCTGCCTCGGCCTCTCAAAGTGCTGGGATTATAGGTGTGAGCCACCGTGCCCGGCCTGTATGTGATTTTAGCTTATCCTTTTCTCTTACCAAAAATTTAAAGCACATTTTGTGTAAATCTTATGGGTACTTAATATTTAATGTGGAGAACAACAGGCCTTTTATTTCCTCTCACATGCTATTTTTCTTTTTCAGTGTGAATGACATCACAGCTGTTGGACCAGCACATTTCTATGCCACAAATGATCACTACTTCTCTGATCCTTTCTTAAAGTATTTAGAAACATACTTGAACTTACGCTGGGCAAATGTTGTTTACTACAGTCCAAATGAAGTTAAAGCAGTAGCAGAAGGATTTGATTCAGCAAATGGGATCAACATTTCACCTGATAATAAGTATGACCCTTTATAGAATATCTTCATTTTTCTTCATTTGTGGTGCTAGCCACATTCTTTGCTTTTTTTGTTAATGTGACAATAGTTTTCTTGACGTTTATGGTATATTATACACATAATATATAGATACACTATATATATAATTATGTATATTTTGTACATATATTTACATATAGTATATACTTAATCACATATGCAAATATATCATATATGTAAGTATAATACTATATACTACAATAATATATGTATTTGCATATAATAAAGTTTGGAATACATCATTATCAAATTTAATTTTATAAATATAAATTTTAAAGTGTAATCATACTGATGCATACATATTAAAGTATCTGATAGATATTTCCTTTTAAATAAATGTGTCATTATTTTTGTTGGCCATATACTATTCCATTATAAGGATGATTTTAAAGTAACCAATTCTCTATTGATGTATATGTGTATGGGGGGAGGGAGTTCTACATAAAAAACATTTTATACTTCTTATTTACCTTGGAAGTTTAAACAAGTACCTTTTAAAGGAAAAGGTCCCTTAGAGAGCATTATAACATAATGGTTAAACTTGCGGATTTTGGACTCATACAGGCCTGGGTTCAAATCCCACCCAGGGCATTGGCTAACTGGTTTTATGAGCTACTTTTCTGTAAAACACACCCCTAGCAATAGAACTATTTGCTCAAACAGTGTGAATCTTTTACATGTTAACTTTAATAGATATTGCCAAATTGTCCTCCAAAATTATCTCATTATTTTTATATGTACAACCATGACCTCTAAGAGAGGATATTAAATTCTTTATTAGCTTTTTTATCTACTGCCTTAGCACACTGAAAAATTTAAACTACTACAAATACAACATAACATAAATTTGGCATTCCTTGACAACTAAATGCCCTTATTTTTGTGATCTAATTTCTCATCCTTTCTTGTTGACTATAGAAAAAGAATGTAGAATTACTTAATTTCAATTGTCTCTAACTGACCTGATCCAACTTCTCCAGCCAAATCTGTTTTTCTTCCCAACTCTTACATTTCCATTATGAAGGTAAAACTTTCTAGTCACCTAAAAAAAAAACAAAAAACAAAAAAAACAGTAATGAAAAGGGAGATTCAACTTTCGCTCTTTCTCCATTCCCATCCAGCCTGTAAGCTTGTCATGTTGATTCTACCTGGGCCTCCTTCCTCTACCCCCAAGCCCCTTTCCCATTGAGACCTGCCTAGTTTATGTTCTAATCCTCTCTGACTAGCATATGAGACTCTCTTCCAATTTGTTTTCTGTCTACTTGCATTTTTTGCACTCTTGCCAATTTTGTCTTTCTGTGTCTATTAGTCTTGAAGGGCTCCCCACGGGGAGAGCTCTGTCTTCCTCAGCTTTGACTCCTCATGCCAGCACAGTGCCAGGTACAGAACTGACCATTTGTTGCCATGCTATTATTCTAAAATTTCAGTGGAATCCAATTGCTTATCAAATCAAGGCAGAGTAAAGGGTCAGACTTTGTTTAATAGGCCAGCTCCAACCTCCCTTTTCTACTGTTTGCATGCTTTCTATGCTTTAGACAAAGAACTCATTGTTTTAAACATTCCTTCCTCTTCTTGTTCCTGTGATTATGTTCTTGTGCTTGCTTCTGCCTGGGAAGTGACTTCTCTATCCTCATCTCCTCAAATCTCATCTCTCCTTACATAGCCATTGCAGATGCCCCCTCCTTGGTGAGCCATTCTGTGTCCTCAGAAGTTAGCTATTTCTAAACCTGAACTATTTCTCATGCTTATTAGGTGTTTAATGTGTACAAACCAGTGAGATTATTCCAACACACTATAAAGCTTCAAGGAGAGAGTCTGTGTCTTCTTCATGTATAGCATATCTGTTTTAATACTGAGTTCATGGCTTTTTACACATGATAATTGCTCAATAGAACAGCTTCCATGGAACAGTTACCTCAATATAATTTTATTTATTGAGGTAACTGTTCCATGGAAGCTGTTTTATTTTGGGGTAATTTTATTTACCCCAAAATAGTCCATTAATTCACTCACCTTCGATGTAGACAGATTGTTTTGAATTGATATTTATCTGTTACTCTTAAAAGTCTCCATGTATTAATAAATATTTTATTGAATATTAAGGAATAATCAGTATTTTAATAAGAAGTTATTTACCATATATTTCTATATGTACATGATACTTAGAAGTGTCTAATTACATTGTGGAATGTAAAAGCCTTTCTTGTGAAGCTAAGCATTTGTTTTATTGTCATTTCAGTGGCAAATATGGACTTCATATTCAAAATGATGTCCTATATTATTTTTCCTTACAAGCCTTTTGAAAAACAATTTAATAATTCCATGATTGTTATAGCACCACTGAATTGATTTTGAAAGCTTACTTTTTAAGTAAAAATTGATCTTTATCAAGCATTTCTTGAGGGCCCATCATTGATTAACTTCTTAGCAGGTTATTAAGACTTATTCTTTCATACTGTATTAATGAAGCTTTATATTGGCATGGAGCTCTAACAAGTGTGTCTTTTCTGCAAAGGTATATCTATGTTGCTGACATATTGGCTCATGAAATTCATGTTTTGGAAAAACACCCTAATATGAATTTAACTCAATTGAAGGTAAAATACTTATTTTTTACATATAGACAGTAATCTATTGTGCTTTGCAATGACATAGTTTTTCTGTAACAGTACCACACGTAGAACAGAATATGGATGCCAGTGTAGATATTCTGGGTTTTTAAATACTCCCTGTAGAGAAAGCTCCTGTTGCCAGTGATCACAAAGACTGACCATAATTACATGCAGCAGCAGGTTGAGAGTGATATTTGCATCAGATTTAGGGCCCATTCCATGAAGTATTGATGCCAATGGAAGAATTCCAATAAGACTTTTCACAATTGAAAAGACTAATAGATGAATTTTCAAATGAAGATTTCTGCACAGTGTCAGTTCTTTCAATAATAAATGAAGGTAGAGATTGGGTTCCACACCATTACTATTTTTTTCCTGCTTGACAACACATATTTTAGGTTGATTTAAGAATTTCCTATCTTGCTTTGATTGAGGTCCTTGAGCTAACTGATCATTGTGTATCTTTTAAGGGAAAGGGAGTTCAGATTTTACAGAGATTTTTAGAAAGGCTGATTATCACCCTAACTTTCTTAATTTCGGGGAAGAAGAAAAGTAGCTGTAAACCAGTGTTTATTACATTCCTTTTAAGCAATATTGGTGTTAGAGGGTGGAAGCAGGGCGATGTATAATTTCTTCGCATGAATAGAGGCAGGAAGGTTACCTCTAAATTATTTAACCAAGTTTCTCGTGTCATTTAGATATTGACAATTTCTCATTTGGAAGGTACTTGAGCTGGATACACTGGTGGATAATTTATCTATTGATCCTTCCTCGGGGGACATCTGGGTAGGCTGTCATCCTAACGGCCAGAAGCTCTTCGTGTATGATCCAAACAATCCTCCCTCGTCAGAGGTTTTTATATTTTTAGTTTTTCAACCTTAATTATTCAAGTCCTTTTGAACTAAGAATACAATATACTGTCACAGGGATGATTTGTTTAGTTATTTTAAAGCAGTAATATAATAAGCTTACGTCGTGGTTCTGTAATTGCTTTAAGCCAATAATTGGCAGAATGTTACATTGTTCAATTACTTTAAGAAAGGTAATCTTTTGATGTATTAAATTATGGTGGAAACTAGTAAAAAGGCATTTTTATAAAGACATGTGCCCTTCTTGGGTGGTATACTGGCAATTTTTAAAATATCTGATTTATTATCAGCTCACCACATGATGTGATATTTGTTCATGTTGAAGTAATGTGAAAATAGGCACATTATTATGAAAGTATTTCTATTAAAGCTGAATTGCTATAATAACACTAAATCCTGTTTTGGCACGGAATAACTAGATGGTTTAAGTAAGTACTTTCTTTGAAGGTTGGAGAAAGTACTTTTAATTTAAACATTAAAAACATTGGTAACTGCTATTTTCAACAGCATGTCCCTTTAATCAGTGTGTCATTGTGGAAAACAGGGCTTATTGGTGATTGAGTGACATGCGTGTATGGCGGTCTTATATTAATACTTTGTATCCCCTGAATAGGTTCTCCGCATCCAGAACATTCTATCTGAGAAGCCTACAGTGACTACAGTTTATGCCAACAACGGATCTGTTCTCCAAGGAAGTTCTGTGGCCTCAGTGTATGATGGGAAGCTGCTCATAGGCACTTTATACCACAGAGCCTTGTATTGTGAACTCTAAATTGCATTTTTCGCATGAAAGTGTGGTAACAATTAATTTTCTATGAATTGTGAATTCTGAGGGAATTCAATCAGCAACATTGACCCAGAAATGTATGGCATGTGTAGTTAATTTTATTCCAGTGAGGAATGGCCCTTTTAGTTCTTAGAGCACTTTTAACAAAAAAGGAAAATGAACAGGTTCTTTAAAATGCCAAGCAAGGGAGAGAGAAGAAAGCTGCTTTCGAATAAAGTGAATACATTTTGCACAAAATAAGCCTCACCTTTGCCTTCCAACTGCCAGAACATGGATTCCACTGAAATAGAATGAGTTATATTTCCTTTAAATGTGAGTGACCTCAGTTCCAGCACTGTGACCACTATGGCTGTTTAAAACTACTGATAATAACATGTTTTGATGTTTTGTACTTACATCTTTGTTTACCATTAAAATGTTGGAGTTATATTAAAGATTAAAATCCCAGTTTTGTCTGTGTTTAATTCTTAAGGCATATGCCTAGGGGAAATGGGAAAGCAACTGCTTCCTTATAGAGTTTGGATAGGCAGGCATGGCCATGTTAATTCCTCTTGTAGAAAGCTGAAAGTGATTGGGCTCTTAATTTGAAAGAGAAAAAAATTAACCAAGTATTGCAACTCAAATTCCCAGTTCCTAAGGAGGTTTCCATCAGCTCTCTTCCTTAATGGGTGGGCACTTTAGATACAAAGACGAAATAAGGGTTTGGACAGGAAAGTCACGTCATCTCCTCATTGAACAGAAGGGTGAAGTAAAGCCAGGAGAGATGAAGTCAGTTGTCTGTGACCACATGGTTAAACTGCAGCAATGCTAGGATCAGGGCCATGTGCCCAGCTCACAGAGGAAAAGTTTTTTCTGCTCACTGTAACTTCCGTAAAATCATCATAAGCCCAAGAGAGAGACTTTCATGTGATTTTTCTGTTGTAATTTATCAAAGCACTTCACTTCTCATACTTTTACCCTATCATCATCATGAAAATGTTTGTCAGTTAATTACAATATGCCGAACAATACACTAAAAGTATTACATTCGTTATTTAATCCTAATTGCAGCCTTGAAGGAGTAAGTATTGATATTATTATCACTGTTAACATTTCACAGATGTTCAATCTGTTTCTGATGCCACAGCCTATACCGCTGACTACTACGTGATGCTACTGCCATAGAATGAACTAGTATTTTGTTAACTCTTTTTCCTAATGAATACAGTTTCTTCATGTTTTGTAGATACCAGTTTGTGTTCTGCTTTTAGATGAAGCATTTAATGCTTTTTAATGTAACATGGCAGTAGTAGCCTTAAATTTGGCCTGTATCCATTTGGCCTGTGTTGTTATTTGTATATTTAAATAGTTTGTTACATATTGTATTGGATTTATTTCATGCTAAAATAATTATCTTTTTTGTTTACATTGTCCAAGGGAAAATGCTAAGTCACAGATGAATATAACAAGATTAAATATTGCAGACCTAGGGATCCAAATGAAGAAGCAGATGTTTCAGATTTTAGCAGATTATATCAATAACTATCTAGAAAGCTACATTTATAAAAAGTACTGGAATACAGTAGGCAGAAAACAAACTTGGTTTCTATTGTATTTATTATAAATTTTATGACAAAACCATGTCCTTTGCAGCAACATGGATGCAGCAGGAGGTCATCCTAAGCAAATAAACAGAAAACCAAATGCTGCATGTCCTCACTTATAAGTGGAAGGTAAACATTAAATACACACAGACAAAGATGGGAACAGACATTAGGGACCACTAGATGGGAGGGAGAATGAGGGTACAGGCTGAAAAACTACTGGGTACTATGCTTGTCACTTGGGTGACAAGACCATCCATATCCTAAACCTCAGCATCATGCAGTATTCCTGTGTAACAACTCTACACCTGTACTCTCACTCCCCACTCAAAAAATACTGGGGAGTACAATTTGCTAGATCATATGGTAGGAGTATGTTTAGTTTTGAAAGAAACTGCCAAACTATTCCAAGTGGTTACACTGTTTTGCATTTGCACCAAATAGTGAATGAGAGTTCCTATTACTCCACACCCTGGCCAGCATTTGGTGTCAATGTTTTAGATTATACTATTGTGAGGTGGTATCTCGTTTTGATTTGCAGTTCCCTGATGACATATAATGTTGAGCATTATTATGCTTGTTTGCTATCTGTATGTCTTCTCTGATGAGGTGCCTATTTATGCCATTGGCCCATTTAAAAATCTTCTTTTTTCGTTTTCTTAATGTTAAGTTTTAAGAGGGTTTTGAGTATTTTGAATAACAATTTTCTGTTACATATATCTTTTGCAAATATTTTCTCCCAGTCTGTGGCTTGTCTTCTCATTCTCTTGATAGTGTGTTTCACAGAGGATATTTATTTTTAAAAACAAAATCAGGGCACCTCTATAAGGTAAATAGTCACTTCAAATGATACTACAGAATATTAGAAGAGACATGCTCACAGTGTATTTTGAATAAAGCATGCAAGTATTTAAAACAATTTTTTTATTTGGACAAAAGCGTATGTACGTTAATAAGCACATGATTATTGATCTTAGAAATAAAAAAGTAAATAATCTCTGATTTTTAGCCTCTCTAGGCCATGAGGAATTCTATCAAACTCTTAGTATATTGTGCACTTATTTATGGTGATCTCTCTCTGATCTTATACTGAACTGAACAATTGAAAACAACTGAAACTGTAATTGGGATATGACCCATGAGGTGAATATAGGTCTTACAGGTGTGTATGTGTTAATCTTTTTACTCCAAGATTCTGTTCAGGGTTGGGGAGGATGGGGGGAGGTTGGGGGGAGCACCTTCCACATGGTGCTTTGCAGGAAGTCACCAAACAATGTATCAGACTTTCACTACCTGACTTCATTCTTAGTTGCATCTTCAGAATGAAATTGAGAATTTTATTTAAATTCAGATATACCTAAATATTTCATACTTCAATACATATAAATTTAAAATAATAAATTATCTAAATAATAAAATCTCTGGTCCTCTATCTTTTTTCTCTCCTGAGCAGCACAAGACACATTAATGACAGGTAGTCATACCCAGGTTTTAAACAGTGGTTTCTGTGGCTTAGGACAATGTTTCCTAATGTTCTAAAATCCATATCCTATCTTTAAAAAACAGCTTTATTGCAATATAATCGTAATCTCTTTAGATTTGTTGCTTTTTTCTCTATTACCACCTTTTTTTCTTTGCAAGATTCACTGATGCAAACGATCTTTTTAAATTAAAAACACAGCAATTGTAAACATGATCAAGATACAAGGTTTGAAAATTTCAAATATCAGAGTGTCGTACAGTAAAAGCAAAGTCTCCTTCCACACTCACTGACCTCCCCACTCTCTATGATCCCAATCTTTTGCTCTCAAAGTAACTACTCTTCAGTTTATGTCTAGATTGTTTATATTTTATATATACACATATATGTGGGTAATACATAATTCCCCTACTTTTATAGCATAGGGTTTTCTGCATCTCCCTTAATGGCATTTTGATTATCAATAGTGTGGGACTCCCTACATCTATAAACATATTGTGTTACTTACTGTTTAAATGTATACCATTATATTTGGTCAACATTAGCTCTTGAGAATTAATCAATTTGGCATATTGCTAAGAGCAGATTTAGATGGTGACGCTCAATACAGAGGCCTCCAAAGTTTGGAATTCTTTAATGCTAATTTATCATGCTGGGGATCTGAATTACTGATTATGGTATTCAAAAAAAAATTAACCACTTCTAGGGTTTAAGTTAAGGTACATCCACCCACACAGACTCCTCTGCCTAAAGCGAAGAATTTTTAAACAAACTATAGCTAACACAGAACTTCAATCAATTGCCCAAGGACGTGCTGCTTTCCTTACCCCCTTCTTCATGCTATGCTGCAAACACAGTGATAAAGAACATGAGCTCTAGAGTCACCTGATCTGAGTCCAGATGGAGGCTCTGACACTTCTTAGTTATGTAACCTTAAGTGAATTATTATTTTATCTCTTTAAGCTTCAATTTCCTTTTTAATCCCATCAAACTTACAGCAAGCAATTCACTTTACTTCTTTGTAAAGCAACGTTAACAAGAAGTAATGTGGCAAGGCATGCAAACACTGAGCTCAAAATATGACTATTATTATTTCATTATCCACTCCATTTATTTTTATTCTTCTAATTTTTCCTTCTCCCAAGTCCGTATTTTACATCCATCCATCTAATCATATTTATTGAGCTCTTATTAAGCACAAAGTCTATGGATGGCACGGAAAAACCCAGTGATCAATAGGATGCAGTCTTACAGGAGCCTACAATCTCAGGCAAAGTTCAGGATTAATTAGTGATTAATCTTTACTAACTTCATAAAACGTATCAAGCACAGTGCAGAGCACTTGACACTCATTATCACGTTTAATTTGAAGCTCTATGAGGTGGATGCTCTTTTACAGAAGAGGCATCTGTAGCTTAAGGAAGCTGAGTACTTTATCCAAGCTGGATCCAAACCCAGGCAGACTGACTCCCAAACCCTGCATGCTTGTCTGCACCACATCCCAGGCCCCTCAGCTCTGTGAGCCCTTCTGAGTCCTCAGGACAGCAGCATTCGATTCTTCCTCTGCTTGCACTCTTTTAACATTAGTCATCTTAAAAGAACTCTTATCTATACAATTCAAGACGTTACACTGTCCTTTTAATACAACCCTCTTCCATAGCTTTCCTAGAGGTAGCATGGTAGAGGCAGCTGTTAAGGGCCCAGATTTTGGAGTCTGCTGCTTGACAGGTGTGTGACCTACAGCAAGCCACATAATCACTCTGTGCTGCAGGTTTCTCACCTGTAAAATTGGGGTAAGGTTACCCCCACCCCAGAGGTTGTGTTGAGAATTAAATGCATTAACATAGGTAAAGGTGTAAGCACAGGCAAAGCACACAGTCAGTCAGTACTGCATAAGCAGTGGGTTTCATTATCATCCTGTAATTATGTTGTCATACCAGAATCATGTATACCATAGGTCAGGGACCACATTTTCTTTTCTTAATATCCCTAGGTCGGGCAAATCTTGCTCTGACAAAATAGTTTATTCGGTCGAACCCAACAGAACGAATATTTCTTTCTGTATGTAAATAGAAATAGATCATGCTTAAAGATGCTCCTTTGCCCAAACTCCTCAAGTTTTCCCCCATTTTCAGTTCCTCTCCCTCCAACCTGGTCTTCATCAGGAGAGGGGAAAGGGCTTTTTTTGCCTGGCAGGAACTCACGACCTGGAAGAAAGAGGGCCTAACCTGCCAAGGAAACGACCTTCCCCTTCCTTGCCTCTCTGCTCCTCTTCCCGTTTCCTATGTCTTTTCCTTCTCTTCTCCTGATGTTTCCTTCTCTCGTTAACTATGAGGATAGACACGGATATTCACAAGTCCATCTGGGCCGCACACTCCGAGGTA